AGTTCAGAAGTCTTTTGTTGAAAGGAAGCTTCCCTTTAAATAGGGAGAAATTAGTTCTCCCTATGACATCATCTGTAATTTTACATTGTAAATACTGCTATTACTCTGGAATTTGCTATTCTTCATAGGTGGAGCCAAACAAACATCTTGTATGTCAACATAGATGTTGTTACCTAGAAGAAAATGAAATCATTCAGAATAGTAAGACTTCAAGTCCATCACTAGATAAGACAAGAAAAGTAGACAGTTGAGAAAAAAAGTTTGTTCACAAAACCTTATATATGTCCATTAATCTTTTCTGGAATGTTCAGTATTGAAGAATACGGAGAGATTTTGGGCTTGTATTTGATAAAAGTAGGAGAGAAGTTTCTCCTTAAAAATTCCAAGTCTTGGGGCAAAACAGAACAGTTAGGAGTAGACAAGTAGGAGTTAGGAGTAGCAGTTAGGAGTAGACATTTCCGTTCAATGCATAATCAAGCAGGTCTTTAGTAAGAGCTTTGCAATAAGTACTCAATGAGTTATGCAATAAATTCTCTGTGCAGTGTTTGGTTAAAAGGATTCCTCAAAATAGTGTTTGTGCTCTCAACAAGAGGCAGGGGAGAGTTGGCAGTAAGACGTGTCAGGGAAGAAGTGTTATCCTATACTAGTCCTTTGCTGTCATACTGACAGTTGCAGAGAGGTGTATTTCCCACCTTGGACTCAAATCACTGAAGTCTTATCTGGGTTCATTCTTTTCCTTTGAGTTGTTGGAGATAGTGTTCAACAGAACTGTTGGGTAGGAGCTGTAACCTGGCTGAGTAACCTAAACTTACCAGTAAGGTCCGTGTTCCTTCTAACTTTTCTTATTCAGTCAATCATTAATTCTTTCTCTGTTCTGGCTTGGATTTAATTGGAATGATGTAGAGTTAGCTTGCATCCCACCTGCCCGCTTAACTAGTTAGTGTAGTGTGTACCCAGCTACTTGCATATGTCCTTAGTGAAATCAGTAATACCGATTCCCCTTTTATAGGATTTAAATTTTATTTTTTGGATAATTAATTCATTACATTTCTTTCTTCTAGAGTTTTTTTTCCCCCTTTTTTTTGGTGTCTATACTTAAAATCAGAAATGAGTAAGTAACTGATGTTCTTTTATACTGTGATCTGTCCACAGACAAGGTTAAATATAGCACTTTCCATTTGTTGTATGGTTTTATGCTCTGTAAAAATTGGGATGGAGGAAGAAGAATTAGTATAAGTAAGACCCTTTTGAGGTTAGGAGAAAGTTCTGAAGATATTTAATAATGTAGGATTTAGAATTTCCATTTCATGGGAATTTCCCCAGCGATGATTACATTTTTGCCATGCTAGTTGATGACATTATTCATTTTGTATGAGCCCCATTATAAAGAGCTTTATTTTTTCTAATCAAAATATTAAGAGGAATTAGCAATGTATGTAGGCCAGTTCAAATCTGGGCTGCTCCCAAAAGGTGCTTTGCTTTGTCAGCGTTCATGCAGTCCTCCCATTAGCAGGGAAGCGGGTGTTCCTGCTGGCCCTGGCTCTGGCTCTGCCAGCGCTGGGCTGCAGTGGGAACACACGGTCGGGGCTGAGGGAAGAGTGAGCAGCAGCTCATACGTAGCTTGAAGAGACCATTTAACAAGTGCCCACTAAAACTGTATGCATATGGCATCTGCACAAACTATGAAACCTCTCTAATTTTCCCACAGGATGGGGTGCATTTGTTTACAAAATGAGTTTCCGCCCAAGTGACGATAAGTGGCATCGGTTCTATTCATCACATACCAGGTTTTCAGTTATTTTGCTAGTGATTTACCTGTCTGCTGAGACCTGCTGCATGTTACCTGCGTTGGGGACTTTGGAATAAGATTACATTTCTGTCAGGCTTTGTGATTCAGGAGTTATTAAAAATGAGTGTCAGCAGGCCAATGGGAATTTCAGATGGCTTTTTAAAGAAGGATAAGTAAAAGATATCTGGATGTGTTAATCTTAAAATATTGATGGATTATATGTCTTGATTAACAGGCTCCAGTCATGGATCAATATACTGCCATTAATTCCCTCATCACATAGGAAATATTTACCGTATTGTGGGTACATTTATTAAGTGTGTGGAAAATTTACCTGTAATTGTGAGAAGTTCCCAGTTTTGCTGCCGGCTGCAGCGTGTGTTCCGGGCCTTCGTGGCAACCCGGGCTGCGCTCCCTTCCTTCTCCCGACACGGCGGGCTGTGTGGTGAAGTTGCGTGTCCGGGACTCGGTAGCCGGAGGCCACCCTCGGTATCGCCCTCTGGGGCCTGTCAGCAGCAGCAGCAAGTTCCACGGGCGGTCAGGATTTGTCCTGCTTACTCTTATCAGTCACTTGGAACACTTAATCACTTCTTTAGTAGGCGGCAGTGCCACACAATCAACTTCATCGTTTTTAAAGGCCTTAAAAGCAGAGACTGTAATTTCTAATGATATAGACTATTATTTTTTTGTTTCCCTTGTGTTCTTTCAGTGAGAAATTATTACTCTTCCTGATTCTTACTCCGACACCTGTAATCAGTGTATAAACAATATATTAATTCTCATAATGTCTTTACTTCATTGGTTTCATTTGTTTTTACCCACTGATTTTGATTTAATATGATTGCTCCCTTTGCACTTCTAGTTTAATGACCTGCCAGCTCTTTTATTTGGTTACTTTGGATTGGAAGCCATCCTGTTGCACAGGATCGTGTGACTTTGAAAGCCAAGACAATATTCTGTGGATCGGAGCTGTCCTTTATACCAAATCACTTCCTGTTTTCTATTGAGGGATTTAAAAAAGAAAAATAAAGACAGGAATTGGAGTTGCTAGTTAATAATAAGCTTGCTTGTATATGTCCAATACACTCATCTGAAGACATAGTCAGAAGAATCTGTTTGGACTTGCTGTACTTACTTAAAATTCTTGGCACCGTGGAAGTTGTGATTTGTTTCTTGCTTATACTTGTTCTGGAGATAGACCAGAAAAATGTAGTCATTAACAAGCAGTGACCTGAGTGAGCCAATTAAAGCTGTATTCAGTTAGGGCTTAGTGTATATGAGTGTTGTGTTTAAATCACTGGTTAATGTGCTTAATAATCGTTAAAGAAGCAAGGGACACTGGAATCCTGCGGCAATTCTAGAGGCACCGTTACTGGTTGTGAAGTAGCTAGAGTCAAGTACAGGAACAGACAAAGTAGTTTCATATGTGGCAAAAATATCAGTAGGCCCAGGGAGCCTGCTGATAGCCCAGGCCTCCCTTAGGCCTGGAAAGCCCCCAAGAAGGGAGTGTTTGCAGCTTCCTTGCTTGGTGCTGCCAGCAGTAGCAGATGCCGTTCCGGCCACCTCTAGCCCTGGGAATGGAGCAGCAGCTCCTCGGGTTTTTGCCATGTGGCTCTCGAGCTCAGTTGCTGGCTCTCCTGTCCCTTCCCCTCACTGCCTGCTTGCTACCAAACTGAGGGGAACAGGAAAGCTAGTTTAAACTCTCAGCAGAGCCAAGACCTCTGGTGTCAGTGTTTTTGTCTAACTGCCGAAAGTATTTATTACTTAAATTCTTTTGATTCCCTAACAAGTAAGGCAGATTTATACAGAAAACAAATCATGCTGGTAAGTAGTTTTGGTAGTGAACATGTTCTGATTAGCATGGATTCCTCAAGGATTCTCAAGAAGTCTAGCCTAAAACTGTATTTCGGATTTTTGGACTCTACTACTTATTTTCTGAGTCTCGTTAGTCTTGCTTTGAAGAGCAGATCCATAAATACTTAATCCAATTGACCCTCATAGACAATATGAGGGATACAGTGGATAACAATTGCAATAGCAATCTTAGTATGACCAAGAGGTATAATTTTTTGACTCTGTACTATACTAGAATAGTCATTAGGTATATCTACAGTGAAGATTTTTTTTTTCTGAATTAAGTAGCTTCCATGATCACAGACATCAGACCTGTTTTTGTTCTCTTTCATGCAGGACATGATAGGTAGAACAGAATCCTGTGCTTCAGGACAGATACCTATGACCTACCTAAGCTGCCTTGCTTACATGCTGGAAGAATGGACTGGAGTGGAGTACCTGCAGAAATACTTTTTTCATGTAGTCATTTTTACACTGATGCTGAGTGCAATACTAGTTTTTTTTATAGTTCCTTTAACAATCCTATTTTTCATTTCCCTTGCTAATATTTTGCTTTTAATATATCAGAGGAACAGTGAGGTAAAAGCAGATCCCTTGAGTGATGTTTGGGATAATGCACGGAAAACTTTGGCAAGCTTCTGGGATATATGTGCAAGAATATGGCATGGTAAGTATGGCTTGATAACTTGAAGGCTTGGCTCACAGCTAGTAAGTATTACCAAGTTTAATTCTAGATTTCTTCCAAATGAGTACAGAGAAATGATATATATTGTACTTCATGTGGAATGGAATGCATAAGGTTCTGCTCTAAAGGGTGATTGCAATTTAGAAGAGAGAGAATAAAAGAGAGAAATGAAATTATATAGAGTAAATTTCTGTAAGTCAGTAGAAAGATGCACTTCATGGTTTCACAGTGGACTGCAGTGTTCATGTTAGTTCTAGTTACTTAACTGCAAGGGAGAATTAGGATTTCCTTTTATATTTTAGTAGCTGTTCATAACCCACTTCTTAAATGAACAATCAAAAAAAAAACCCACAAAAACTAACCAACTAACTGGAAATATAATTAGAGTATTTTTAGTTGGAGAAAACTATTTTGTGTTATGACAGTTTAAAATAACTTCAACGGCTGTATGGAAAAGAAATAGATACCATATTCAAATTTATGCTGTGGCAGAATTTAAACTTATCTGATCATTCCCTGGCATTATATTATATCTGCAGACACCTCAACACACCCTGCTACCTAGGAAAATCTGCAGCCCCAAGCGACGTACCTGTTCTTCCCACAGATGTGGGCAGTCTGTAAGCAGGACTTAATTTTCCTTCCCTAATGATGAAGAAATTAGGCGTTATTCTGTGTTGCTGCCCTTCTTCACAGCGTTGTTCCCTTTATCTTTGAACCTCCTATGACAGGAAAGGTTCTGCAGCTCTTCCCCTGCCTGCCTGCTCCCTTGCCATCCTGCTCCTAAAGTGGCTCGTGATTGGAGCTGGACTGGGGATGGAGGCGAAGGCAGGCAAGGTGGGACTGAGGGCCTGGGGATTTTCCCAGACATTTTTAGGCTACTCTTCAGGCTCTTGCACCTCTCGCTGAAGGACATTCAGTAAAGGATAGTAAGTGGTTTGCTTTATATCCTATGCAGGTTATGAGCTTCACGGTGTGGAAAACCTACCAGAAGGAGCAGGCATTCTTGTGTATTACCACGGAGCCATTCCTATAGACCATCTTTACTTTTTAGCTAGGCTCTTTCTCCGGAAAAAAAGACTTTGCTTGTCCGTAGCTGACAATTTTGTCTTTCGTTTACCAGGTAAGAACATGACCTGCTGTATTTGAGCATTCTGAATTCATTCTGCCTATCTGCCTATTGCTGATTTCGGTGAAATTAAAAACTTACAATCTGAAGAGAATTTTTTAAGCAAAAAGATGGAGGACAGGCTGGCAAATGCCTTAATATAGGCGTGTCATGTATATTAAAATGATGATAATATGGAGCAAGCTATTTAAAAGTACATTCTTCCAAAAAAAGGTCTAAACAAGGAAAACAAAGCATAAACTCAAGCAAATTAATGTAAAGCTGTATTATGGCATGTAGCTAGACGTATCATGTCTAGAAAGACATGAAAGGCAAGAAAATCAAGAGATTCTGGTTTACAGCTGGAATCCCAAAACAAAATAGAGCTTAGCAGAATTTTGAACTGCAGATTTCTTCTTTTAAGGGATAAAGTAGAGGTATTGTTTCATATTAAATAGTCAGTAGATGAGCTTCTAATTATAAATATATTTGTAGCTTATTAGTAGAACAAACCTCTATGGTCCTCCAGGGTTCTAAAATAATTAAACTGTAGAATTTACATGTTACTGAGTGTACATTACATAGTGTTTGAATCATACTTGTTCTAGAGGAATAGAAAGCGGGAAATACAGTGTTGACTTAAAAAAAGAATACTGAATACTTTCACTGTAGTGAAAAGGATGACAAATTATGGAAATCAGACTTCTCGGATAATTAAATTAGTAGAAATCATGGCTAAAAGTAAAATACTTAGTAAAAAAAAAAAAAAGGTTTGTCCGTTCACCTCCCCCTCTGCTACCACACTTAACCTGCTTTTTGCAGAGGAAAGTTACAATTTACAAATCGGTTCTTTGAAGAGTGCTCTTGAGACAGGCTGTACCTAAGTCTCCAGAAGACTTTTGACCAGGTCCTTCCCAAAACTCTTTTGAAGTAATTATGCTGTCACAGGAGAAGTCTTGTGAATCTATTACTAGTTAAAAGATAGGAAAAACGGGGTAGAAATAAATTGTTCCTTTTCACAAAGAAGCAGGATTCACAAAGTGTACCTATGGAGATCTGTGTTAGCACATGTATTGTTGAACATAATCAAAAACTGGATCAATAGTGAGATGATAAAGCTGTATGCTTTTTATAGGCCTTACTTATTTTTAAAGCTAAAGCTATTGTCCACACAGACAATACAGTTATTTAACAGTACTGAACCACAATCTGATAAAATGGTAAATGAAGCTATTAAATATGATGCAATGCGTAAGGGAATGAAAACAAGTGTAATTATAATAAATATACATAATAAATATACTATAAGAAATATGCAAGTAGTCTTTAAATTCTCTAGAGAATTTTAGGAGTATGTCAGCTCAACTCCTAGTAATTGTCAAAGGCAAATAGAATTTTAGAAATATAAGGAAGAGAAAAAACAGAAAATACTGTTATGCCTTATGCTACTCTAAATGCATATGGCCCACACCTTTGGTCCAAAAAAGCTGCAAAATAGAAAAGATGCCCCCCCCCAAAAGGGCAACAAGGATGATCAGTGGCATGGAATGACTTCCCTTGAGGAGACTAAGTAGGACAGAATTCTTGCACGGTTGAAGGGTATAAAATTGAAGGAAGAGGTTAATAAGAAGTGTTAACTCTCCTTTATAGTAATTCTTGTGATGGATCATAATTCTTAACAGGCAAAATTTTAAAGCAAAGGAAATACCTTTTCACTTAGTAATGCTATGGCTTTCATAGCTACAGGATAAAAAAATAGAGGTGAGTTCACAAAGGGATTAGGCAAAGTTGAAGTCTTATCTTTGATAGAAAAAATTATCAAATAAAATGCACTGAATAACATCAGATGCAATTACAAGATTCAGCTTTTTATTTTTTTTTTACACTGTGTTCCAGAGTTGCTGCTCTTGTAAAAAATGCAGTGCTAAACATCCCTTTTGACACTGTATAGTTGTTTTATGGTTATTATTATTAATAGCTGCTTTTCAAACCATGCAGTTGAATACAGTGAATTTGAAGATTAGGGAAAACGTTGTTTTCTGATGCTCTCTGAGAGCTGGAATTTCTAGTTTTAAAATGTGAACATAATATAATGAAGTAGTGTGTCTGTGCTTTTAAAACTGTCTTTTGGAGAAACCACAGCTACTGAAAGAAGTGAAGGAGATTCATCCAGCTGTTCAGCCAGCACTGAAACTGCCCTGTTAATTCTGCTGTCCTTGCATCTTCAGAGTCACAGAACTGCCAAGCTTGACGATCTCAAGTAGTTTGCAATTCAACTGTGTAGAACTTGGCATAAAACATTAAACATTACATTTTAAGAGCACTAAAAATCCACGCTTTACAGGCATTTTGTTTTTGTAATAATATTTATTGTACGTTTTGGTTGTTTTCTATTAAAAATTATTTAAAAGAAAGGAAGGAGGAGTAGAGGCTAATTGTCAGATTTCTAGCTATGAGGCACTAGTTTCTATAGTGTGGCTGGTGTTTTGATATTTATGGCAAATAAATTGCATACAAAAAAAAAACAAAAGACTATACATTTGCATTGACTTAGGGAGATGCTCTTACTAAGTTCATCTTGATAGTGCTTGGGCAAAAATATTGTTCCATATTCACCACTTTGCTATTATTTGCTCTGTTTGTGTTTTATTTACTCTGTGTTTTATTGACTTGATAGATGTTTGCCTTACTTCAATTATGCAGCCATTAGATTTTCATTAAGCGTTAATCTTGTTACATGGAAGCACTGTTATGATTTAGTGTTACAGTAATGTGTATTTGCTATTTATTTATTACAGGAATTAAATTATTATTGGCAGTGTGTGGCATTATGCCAGGCACAAGGGAGGAGTGTCTCAGTGCCCTGAAGAAGGGACATCTGGTGTCCATCTCACCTGGTGGGGTTAGAGAAGCGCTGTTCAGTGATGAAAGTTATCAGCTCATGTGGGGAAATCGAAAAGGTTTTGCTCAGGTGGCTATCGATGCAAAAGTGGTGAGTAATAAATACATGTTACCATCCAGGTTGATGCTTATTGCATGCATGTTTCAGTATAGAATGCAGTTTATGACAGTTTACTGCGAAAACTTTCAGACAGAAGAAAAGGGTTTGGGAGTAAAGATTTCAATTCCTCTTCTCCTGCCTTCCCCAAACCTAGCAACGTACAGGCAGCAAAGGTTTTATGGAAGTGTGTAGCTTTTGTCTTGGCCACTGCAGAACATCCGTCTCCAAAGCTCCATCTTGGATGAGTCTCTGCCTGATGCCTTCTATCTTCATGCAGGCATTTACTTTCTTGTCTTGACCACCTTTCACAAATTTATGCCTTGGTCCTTCTTCTCAATATTGCTATAACATTTGATTCTTTTCTATTTTCTCATCCTACTAGACTATGAAACTATATTCCTCTTACTTTTTTCCTTCTACACCTCCAGTCATTTTCTTACGGATTTTTAATGCATTATCTTTATTTATCTTTCTTCTCCCTCTGTTCTGTGCCAGACCAGGATTTTGTTCTTACCTTTGCTCTCCATGTTCATTTCACTCCCCTTTACCTTCCTTTTCTCAAAGGGGAGGGCTGTTAGTCCCAAATTTAATGTACTATGAGGTCTTGTACACCACTGCTTATAGGAAAATACGGGAGTTTGAACAGAATAAACCCAGGCAAATTTGATGTGCATTTTGAAGTCCCTTATTATTTTTTCTTTTCTGTATTAATACATAATAACATACTTGAATGCTTTTTATGCAACTTGAATGATTTTTCATAATTCCATTTTCCTGTTTGCCTTTCAAGCTACCTTGCAGTGATTTATGTTACCCTGCCTGCTAAAGCAGGCGCTGTGTAGGACTGTCAGTCTGGAGAGCCCAGCAGGGATTGTCTCCTTTAGCACCTGCCAGCCTGGGCGCTCTCTTACAGGGTGTTACAGGATGTCCTACTCTGTGTTCCTTCTGTTTCTGAATACACTCTTGCAGGTGTCTGTTTTCTTACAATCGGGAGGTGTGCTGATGGTGAGCATTACTATAACAAGCTTGCAGGCACCACTGAATTTTGGACACTTTCTATATTCCTCTGGAAGTCTGTGATTGGAAATATATTAGATAGAAAATGATGCTTAAAGAAAAAAAAAAGTGCTGTTTAACTGTAGGAACCGAATTTCACCCGTAAGAGGACAGCATTAACCATATGCACTGTTTCTTACTAAAGTTAGTCCCATAGTAGTAACTGGATTCCATGTGTTCCCAAACTCGAGAGTGATTTCTCCTGTATGTTTTTGCTGCATCCTTTTCAGTTCTGGTCAAAATAGTCTCACTGGGTGCCTGAAGACTGGGAATAGAATCATCTGAATTCAACAGAGCTCAGTTTGTAATGAAGCAACTAACATATGTTTTGCTAATACTCATAGAGGCAAGAGACTAGCAGAGCCTTCTTTTGAATTTATCCAGCCTACAGTGTAGTCACCATGCCATGAACCAAACGCACTTTACAGCATTCTCTCGTTTTAGTTCCGATAATGAAATGAATTTCTTCTTCATTTTCTTTAGCTGTCTCAGGACTGCCCTCCAGAAGGAGAGTAGTCTAAGGACACAGAGTGGCCCTTCTTTATCCAAAGGACTTTTTGTTTGTTTTTTCCCAATGGGATTATTATCTAAACATTATTACTTGGTAAGATCTTATTTTGAGGAACAGATGTGATAAACCAAAACTGAATGCCTTCCTGCTTTTTGTTGTGGTAAGGCATCATGAACTGAATGACTTCAGAACACAGGATTTTACATTTAGACAGAAATGTTGCAAAATTTCACTTTATGGTTCAGTCAGACATACTATAATAAATCCATAGTATCCAAATTATTTTCCTTAGAATCCCAGTCAATCCTTATAATACGCCTTTGCAGTGAAAAATGGAAACCACTGTCAGTGTTGGTCATTTGCCTTGTGAATGCTGACTTTAAAACAACAGTGTTTGTGGGAGCTCAGAGATGTCTTCTGACTTCTATTCTTAGCTTATATGTGATAAAGACACTTGACTGACTTTACTCAACAGGCTGTTAAAGTAGCTCATTTTCCTTTCAAGCTTTTACTATAATATCAGTAGCATACATATATTCACTGTTATTCACTATATTCAATACACTTAGGAAAGAACGGGAAAAGAAGTGAGGCTTAATCAACATATTAGTCTCTGTCTGAAAAGCCAGCAAGAGGTTCTAAAATAATCTTAGGGTAAAAAATATCTTGAGGGAAAAAAAGGCAAAATTCATTCTTAACAAATCTCCAAAATTTGAATTGTGCATTTAGATTTTTTTTGTAATTACTGCATGGAGAACATCTAATTCCTATTGTTCAAAATGATTAATTATCATTCAGTTTATTTTACTCAATTCTTTTTTTACATTTGGGAAATGAATTAGAATTGGAAACATACCACTTTCATCGGTGCAGTCTCTAGGTAGGAGATCTCAAGCTCAATATGGGCTTTCAAAGTGGGAAGACTGAAAACTGAGCAAATTGCTGATAAAGGCATTTATTTCGGGGGGTGGGAGTAGGGGTGGGAGGAGAAAAAAGAAAAAAAAAAGTTTATTGATTTCTAGGTAGAACTGATACTTGAGTTTCTGTAGAGGCGCCTAAGATGTGGAGAAAAACCAACAAACTACTGGTGCCAAATGTGGCAATGTCTCCCTTTCCAGTCAATCCTAAGAAAAATGTTTAACGTGGGTATTTGCCCCAGACGGAAATGTGAAATTTGGAATGCTAGTAAACTATCAGAATTCTGTAACTTCCAGAGCAGACTGTAAGATCAGTTCAAAGTAAAATAAACTTCCACTGCAGGCAACATACTAAGCCCTCAGCACTTCAGCGATAAGAAATTTCTGCTTGTCATCTGACCAACCAATTCTTACCTTCTACATTCGAGGAATTCTCATCTGCTATATCTGGCACTATAACACAATTTCAGACACAGTGTAAGCTTTTGACTTTTTTGTTTTTCTTGATCCTATAGCCCATCATTCCAATGTATACTCAAAATGTCCGTGAAGCATATAGGATGTTTAAAGAAACAAGTAAGAACTTTAAAATATATTTTAAGTTTTTGAATCTTTTCTTCACTTTTCTTCCAAAGATTTTTCTTTTCAGACTTTTGCTTATCCTGGATTCTTTAACATGCCTGTTGTGGGTCAGAGGTATCTTAAATTAGCAAGTGTGTAACTGGGGTGTGCTCTGTGATTTTGTTCTTTACCGCAGTCTCCTTTTTGTAATCTAGTGATTCTATCATCCCTTGTTTTGGTGGACAGTTACCTAAATCTCACAATTTATTCTTGACTGTCAAATGAAAGCAGCATTTTTAAGGATTCTTTTGAAATCTTTCAGCCTCAAGTTTAGATTGGGTTTCTTGTCACTGTGATCTCACTTTTGTAGGATTTTTAAGACAGTTATATGAAAGTACTCGACTGCCGTTTACTCCACCATATGGAGGAATTCCTGTAAAGTTTCGCACCTATATTGGGGAGCCAATCCCTTATGATCCAAATATAACCGCAGAGGAACTAGTTGAGAAGGTAAGTTAGCTATCCCTGCAATGCTGAACTGCACACTTTTTCCTCTATTGTACGTGCACTTGAAACTAACTTTTTTTTTTGTATGATTGATTAGATACAAATACACTTTTACGAGCTTGTTCCTATAATGGACAGTTGAGCATCCTGATTATATAATGTGCAGATATCTACCAGGATGTACTGATGCACTAACAGCTGCTTGGGATGCCGCTATCCTTTCAGAATGTGTGATCATTGTGATCTTGGGACACTAACTTTGCTTTCTCCCTCTTTGATAACTTTGATAACCAAAATGATATAAATTACGTTTAAGTTCAGTTTGAAGTACATAGGAAAATAAACTTCATATATAACACATATCTTCCCTAAAGAACATGGGGCACTAGAAACATAGATAAATTCCAAAAGAGCTTCAGTCTCACTGTCAAAAGGAAAAAATAAATTAAAAAAATCACTTCCTAAATGTAAAAATATTGCAAGTGCCTACAGCTTGATGAAATTAATTGTGGCTAGGTGCATAAAAACTTTTATAGATCTATGGCTTAGGCATTTTTCAAAATACTAATCTATGCTGGAAATTCCCTTAAGTTTTTTCATAGAAGATGAAAGATAGCTTTATTCAGAAAATTGTATTGTGGTCTAGGAATAGATAGATCAGAATATGGGTTAGGAATCATTGATCTAGAAATCAGGCATAAAAGGATACAAGAAGCTTTGTTTTGTTTCAAAGGATCTGCTGCAGATTGTCCTGGGCTTCAGGCAGTGAAGCCAGGACAGGTTTTGCCAGTTACAGAAGAACTGTCCCTGCAAGCTGTGGCATTTGGCCTTACCAGCTGCAGGAGGTTGCATGCAAGATTAATACTAAAAAATCAGTCCTTATGGTTACCCAAATTCTATGATTTGTGTTTTGTATACTTGATAAACTGAAATTTAAAATTGCCACTGAATTATCTTGCTTTATTAAGTCAGGAGTTTGGCGATCTACTTCAGTGGAAATAGATGTGTCTGCATCCAGTATTAGTTAAAAAATAAAAAACTTAAATGAGGTTTGAGATGAACTGTAGACTTGCTGACCTCCATCTGATCCTGCCTTGGAAAGGAGTCAAGAAGTTAATCTATCAGGAAAAGTTTAGCTACTTTTTGCTTATGTTCCCACTGATATTTTGCCTCTGCTTTGGGACAGATGTCTGTAGTACTTAGCTATCCTTTTATTTTTGGAATTTAAATATATTAGGAAAAACTAAAAGACCCTATTTCTATCACTAGTGGAGATGCAGAATATTTTATATATTTTCTTCACAAACTTGCATCTGACTTGCATGCAGACTAAAAAGTAATGGAATATAGTTGAGTTCTCTTATTATGTACATGTTGAATATGATAAAATTATAGAAGAACTGTGATATAATTGTAAAATTCATGTTGGGAGGAACATCTAGAGGTCCCATGGTCCAACCTCCTGGACACAGTAGGCTCAGATAAGACTGGACAAAGTTTATTGAGCTTTATCCATTGCTCTTGAAAACCTCCAGAGTGTAAATATATCAAAGGCTAATTTGACTTAGTAAGTTCCTGGGCCCAAGTCTTAATATGACCCTTACCAAACTGCACCCAATGTTCTTTTTCCTTTTTAAAGGATAATGCCATTAGGATAGATAGTTAATATAATTGACATCGTTTTTTTTCTTAAAGTAGATCTTAAATATGCATTTCCCAGGGCCTCTGCAAACTCTGGCAAGGAGTCAGTGATTATGCTGTTTCTTGCATAAGCAAATATGTAAAGGGCAACAACGTTCTCTTCTCTTTCAGACAAAGACTGCAGTCCAGGCTCTAATAGACAAGCACCAAAGAATCCCAGGCAGCATATGGAAGGCCTTATTGGACCGATTTGGTACAAAGAAGAAGAGTGATTAGAGTGCTCATGTTTGTTTAATTGTTGTACGGCAGGGATGGCTAAGAATTGTTTTTTAACCAGTTTCACTTACAAGTTTCTGCAGATTCATCAGAGGAAAACCATTGATGTCTTACAGGCTCCCCTGCATATGCCTCTTTGAAGACATTATTAAGTCAAAAAGAGTGGGCCCTTAAACAAGAGAACTTCCATGTAATAATAGTGCAAGTGCCCAACTTGCCAGAAGAAAATCTTGTAGCTGGTATTTAGCCTGTACCTACAACAAATATGTACATAGAGCTGAGGGCCTCAAAAATAGCGTTCTGTGGTTTTAAATTTTGAGCTGCTCCCAGTCTAGTTACTGAAAAGAATCTCAAATTGGGTGCTGTCCCACCAGAGTTCAGTGGAGCAGGCACCTCTCTAGGCACCTTCCCAGTCAGACTTCACACAAGAAGGTGTGAGAAGGGCAACTGTCTCACTTTGGCTATTCACTATTGCTTAGATCTTTTTTTGTTTGTTTTTTGCTGGAGATATATATACAGATGGAAATAATTCCACATTAAACCTATACAGATTCCTTGTCTTAACGGTTCAGTATCCTGGAAAGTAAATTCTACATCCAAGACTTGGCTCTGACAGGAAAGTCTCCTATGCAGATATTTTATCCCTTTTGTACAGAGAAGAGAGGGATCCCACTCTCATACTATGAGGAGATGGAACAAATAAGTCACAGAGTGACAGAAAAATCTGATTCAGGTTCTAACTAACATTTGAGTTAAGAATTATAATTTTACATTCTCAGAGAAAATAAAAAGGCTTTAGTTAAAGGTAGCATTAAGCAAATACATGTTGAATATTTTCATTTCTTGGCTGGTACATCCCTGACTGGTACGGCACCACATGATACTGATTTAGACCTGTCCCCAGTCTGAGAATCCTGAAGTTAGTCTATTTGCTGTAGTTACCCTCCCAGGGAGCTGGCCGGGGGAGCTTCCTTATGTACTCTAAGCCTGAGGTTTATAATCTCTGGTGGTTTGCCTAAAAATACAGCACCCCATGTGGATTGAGCCTAAACACCTTTTGGAAAGGAGGACCCATTGATTGGAATACCGAAACTTGCTACAAGGCAGACTGTATTCCTTACAAACTATATGATGTTATTGGTGGGAATGGGAGACTTTTGTATAATTAAAAACAACCAACACTGCTAATCACAAAACCAAATAAAGGTAATTGTTGTGCCTTATTTGTTTTTCTTCTTGTATTTTAACATCTGCCTTCTTTACTGACAACCCTAAAATTGATGTAGCATCAAAGATGATATGGCTCATTGTCACTGGAAAACCAACTCTACTCTTTGGATCAAAGTGCTCTTCCCTCCTGTTCCGCTGCTGCGTCTCCCCAGACACTTCTCATATATCTGAAGAAGGAAGCAAGCTGGGCAGGAAAGAAAAAAATAAGAAATCTTGTCCTGAAACAACTCAAATGCATCCTCAGACTTGGGAATGTTACCGGAATACTTTAACTAGGTGTAGTGAAAACTGTATACAGGCAGAAAGACTTTTTTTCCCAACAGAGACTTAACACGCATGGGAAATGACAGACTAATGTAAATGAAGATGCAGACTACTGTGCCTGGACATGAATGGGAATTCAAACCATGCAGTCTTACGTAGTGCGCCCCAGCAACTAGAGCTAAAATTCACAGCTGGGGTTAACCTGGAAGGAACTAAAAGAAAGGACTGCAGATACTAAAATGGACACAGATGAAGAAGCAGCAGTGAAAATCTGAAAGTCTTCCTTGTTATCACAAAAATCCGGTGGAAGGAAGATTCCTATTTTTCAAGCACATTAGCATTATCATTTAGCAGACTGCAAGCACCCAACCTTGGACAGAGGACAGGTAAGGAGCAATGATTATCTTACCAAGCAGGGATCTAAGCCTAGATCTCCTTTATAACCAGGGTTAACAGTTGCTCAACACAGCTAAAGCTTTTGCTGGGCTGTATCATGTTACCGCAGCATCCCTAAATTGTCTGCAGTTTGCTTGAAATGCACTGGAGTTAAACTTAGTTTCTACCAGTTGTTCTCTCTCACTTCTGTCTTAAAAATATTTTCTGGTTCTTAAGGTAACAAACAAAAGCATTATTTAGAAATTCTAGTGGTTCTGAATGAACTATAAGACAGGTTTTATTCTAATATTTAAATTGGTTGTTTTTTGTAAATACTTTTCATAAATACTGCTCTCCTAAAAGAGTTTGTTTCCATACAAATAGAATTGTATTTTCACCTCCATCAAATTGCTCTCCTACAACATGTATTGTTTTGTCTCTTCATCAAAAAATAAAAAAGAAATGAAAAATAGGGAATGTGGAGGATAGTTTGCCTAATAAGTGATACATGGAAATCATAAAATCATAGAATGCTTAAGGTTGGAAGGGATGTCTAGAGGTCATCTAGTCCAACCCCCCCGCACACGCAGGGTCACCTAGAGCACGTGGCACAGGACTGCATCCAAGTGGGTTTTGAAGATCTCCAGAGAAGGAGACTCCACAACCTCTCTGGGCAGCCTGTTCCAGGGCTCTGTCACCCTCAGCCCCATGTTCCTTAACTTTTCATACGTGAGGTTTTCCTAACACAAACTACAGAATTCTGTCTTGGGGGAGGACTATACTACTGGTAACACTGAAAAATAAGTTAATTTGACAACAACTGCCAATAAAATTACAAAATGCAGAACTGAATAGCTACAGTTCAGAAGTCAGATAATGTAAACACAAATGATAGCCAGTCAAGAAAGCATAACAGACAAAGATATGAAAGAATTTGCAGGCAATTTGTCATGGGCTGATCTTAAGTTAAAGCTGATGACACCGTTTGTAATGGCACAATTGTGAAAATTGTTAAATTTCAGCTCAGCTGGTATGGCAGCTAGAGGAAACTGTGTCTGGAACTAGCTTGGTGTAGCAGAGAAGCCTTTTTCAATATATATTAGGTTGATTTATTTTTAGCATACTAAGCAGATCTAGGAATAATAACTGAGGCTGCAGGACAGTCAGAAATATGCTAACAAATGCTTCAAACTTCATGTCCAAACTGCAAACTTCCCCAATAAAATTATTCTAAAATTCGCAAATATAACAACCTTGCAAAATCTGGACATCAAATTATCTCATGTTACAGCTATTACAACTTCCTAGGTTTTCCTGGTCCCTGGCTGAGAAGATTTAAGTCAAAATATGGATGTTTCAATATATGGAATTAATTAAAGGACAAGTATTTGCGTACTATGCAACGTATGTCAAAGAAAAAAGGAAAAAAAAAAGACAAAAAAAGGGACCAAATGCTATAAAAATCCCAGATACTAGCTGTTCAGTTTATTTTGAAGAACAGGATTGATGTATCACATTGACTTCTTGTTGCCCAAATCAAGTTAAATAAAAAAAAATATAGTTTGAATTACCAAACTGTGTAATCATACAGTTCCCTCTACATACAGTCTACCTGTAACCCATATTTGAACAACATCATCTCTAATATGTCACTGAAAAGAGAGATTATGTAGATTTAAAAGTGTATATGCAAATACATTTGCAAGAGCACATACATTTTTCGATTTAAATGTATTAAATTTTAAAATGTATTAATTTATTAACTTCATAAAAATGTTAAAAAGTATGTTCCAGTCTGACGATAAATACAGTTGGAGTACAGTCAGCTTTATAAATCAGTCTTCCTCCACAAATTCTGTCTAGAATACATTTGGGCCCGAGAGGCAGGAAAATTTTATTGCCACTTATTTTTTCTACTGTATCTGCTGGTTCTATGGTGTAATGCAAAGCCAAAGGCATGTATTTCCATGCTACAGCATCTGCAATTGAACTGCAAAAGATGAGATTTAATAAAGACTGGCAGATTAGCAAATTGGGACCCAGCAATACAGAACAACTTATATAGGAATAATGTAAAAGGTCACACTAGTGGAGAAACAGCAATATTTGTTAAAGAAATGTAAGTAATTTAACTGCGTGAACTTAGAGAGTCTATATAGATTTTTTTTGTTGTTTATAGAAAATGCACCATACTGGCATCACCCAGTCAGGATGGTGTTAATGACTATGACAAATTGTAGAGCTACAAGCGTAGAAAGAGTAATGACAGACTCGCTTATTCTCTGTAAGCCTGATAAAAACCACAACAGGCAGTATATCAAGGCTGTATTTTTAAATATCATAGAACAAATGCTTTTAGGATAGTTTGGAACAGCAGCTCTGGATTTACTGTGGAGAAAGGCCCAGATTCCCATTCGCAATGAATGTTACTATTGAAGATGACCACATTTCTCTCTGAGTCATCATCTTTATATGACGAAGAACCGACAAAACCCACCATGGTAACACCTGCGGGGCCGGAGGAGGTGGTAGCAAGTAAGTGCTGCAATGAAACCTACGGGCTCTTCAGAAGGGAGGACAAGGCAGAAAAGGAGGTGGCGTAGCCGTGTATGTTAGGGGGTGCTTCGATTGCATGGAGGTCCAGGTGAGTGATGGAAAAGCCGAGTGTTTATGGGTCAGGATCAGGGAAAGGCCAAAAAGGCTGATATCCTGGTGGGAGTCTGCTATACCCAGGATGAATAGACGGATGAGGCATTCTACAGGCAGCTGACAGAAGTCTCATGATCGGCAGCCCTTGTTCTCGTGGGGGACTCCAACCTACCAGATGTTTGTTGGGAATACAGTACAGCAGGGAGGAAACAATCTAGGAGGCTCTTGAAGCACGTGGAAGGTAGCTTCCTATCGTCCTAAGCTGGGTAAGTGAGCTTACGAGGGGAGCAGCCCCACTGGACCTGCTCTTTGCTAACAGAGAAGACTGGTGGGAGATATGATTGGAGGCTGTGTTGGGCATAGTGACCACAAAATGATATGTGTTCAATTCTTGGTGAAGTCAGGAGGGGTGTCAGCAAAACCACTATGTTGAACTTCCTGACGGCAGACTTTGGACTGTTTAGGACATTTTGGGAGAGTGCCTTGGCACAAGGTCCTTAAGAGCAAAGGGGTTCAGGAAGACCGGACATTTCTCAAGGAGGACATGCCCAAAGTGCAGGAGCAGTGTCTCTGCGTGCCAAAATATGAGCTGCAGGGAAAGAAGGCTGGCTTGGCTGAATAGGGACCTATTACTGAGGCTCTGGGAAAAAAAAGGAGTTTACCACCTTTGGGAGAAGGGGCAGGTAACTCGGGGGCTGGCTTGGCTGAATAGGGACCTATTGCTGAAGCTCTGGGAAAAAAAAAGGGAGTTTACCACCTTTGGAAGAAAGGGCAGGTAACTTGGCAAGTGTACAAGGAAGATGCTAGGGTATGCAGGGAGGAAATCAGAAAGGTGAAAGCTCAGATGGAATTCAATCTGGCCACTGCTGTAAAAGACAACAAAAAATGCTTCCACAAATACATTAACAAGAAGAGGAGGGCCAAGGAGAATCTCCATCTTTATTGGATTCAACAGGGAATATTGTCACCAAGGATGAGGATAAATCTGCGGTACTTAACACTTTCTTTACCTCAGTATTTAACACTCAGATCAGTTATCCTCAAGGTCCTCAGGGATGGAATCATAGAATCATTATGGTTGGAAGACCTTCAAGACCAAGTCCAACTGTAAGTCCTTCAACGTCATGCCTGCTAAACCATGTCCCTAAGTGCCTCATCTACATGTTTGCTGAACACTGCCAGAGACGGTGACTCCATCTCTGGAAGGCATCTATAGGAAGACACCTATAGAGTGCAGCATAAACCCCCCATAATCTAGGAGGAAACGGTCACTGACCTGTTATTCCACTTGGACACCTACAAGTCTATGGGGCCACATGGGATCCACCCAAGGGCTCTGAGGGAGCTGGCAGAAATGCTCACCAAGCCACTCTCCATCATCTACCAGTGCTCCTGATCAACAGGGGAGGTCTTAGACGACTGGAGACTGGCCAATGTGATGCCCATCTACAAGGAGGGGTGCATGGATGATCTGGAGAACTACAGGCCCGTCAGCCTGACCTCAGTATCAAGGAAAGTTATGGAGCAGATCATCTTGACGGCGATCACACAGCGTGTGTGCAACAACCAAGGGATCAGGCACAATCAACATGGGTTCATGAAAGGCAGGTCCTGTCTCACCAACCCAATTTCCTTCTATGACCAGGTGACCTGCCTAGTGGATGAGGGAAAGGCTGTGGACATGGTGTACTTAGACTTCTGTAAGGTCTTCAACACAGTCTCCTGCTGTCTCCTCCTGGAGAAGCTGGCAGCTCATGGCTTACACTGGTGGACTCTTTGCTGGGTGAAAAACTGACTGGATGGCCAGGCCCAGAAAGTGATAGTGATTGGAGTTAAATCTGACTGATGACCAGTCACGAGTGGTGTGCCCCAGGGGTCAGTGTTGGTCCTCTTTAATATCCTTACTTACGATCTGGATGAAGGCATTGAGTGCATCCTCTGCAAATTTGCAGGTGGCACAAAACTGGGAGGAAGAGTAGATCTGCCTGAGGGTAGGAAGACTCTGCAGAGGGATCTGGGCAGGCTGGATTGACAGGTGGAGACCAGCTGCATGAAGTTCAAAAAAGCCAAGTGCCAGGTCCTGCACTTCGATCACAACAACCTCATGCAGCGCTATAGGCTTGGGGCAGAGTGGTTGGAGAGCAGCACGGCAGAAAAGGATCTGGGGGTGCTGGTTGACAGCCAGCTCAACGTGAGCCAGCAGTGTGCCAGGGTGGCCAAGAAGGACAAGGGCAGCCTGACTTGTATCAGGAACAGTGTAGCCAGCAGGCCAGGGAAGTGATTGTCTCCCTGTAGTAGGCGCTGCTGAGGCTGCACCTCAAATACTGTGTTCAGTTTTGGGCCCCTCACTACAAGAAGGACATTGAGGTGCTGCAGTGTGTCCAAAGGAGGGCAACAAAGCTGGTGAAGGAGCTGGAGCACAGTCATTATGAGGAGCAGTGAGGGAGCTGGGACTATTTAGTGTGGAGAAGAGGAGGCTCAGGGGAGATCTTAGCACTCTCTACAACTACCTGAAAGGAGGCAGTAGTGAGGCATGGGTTGATCTCTTCTTCAGAATAACTACAGATAGGACAAGAGCAAATGGCCTCAAGATGCGTCAGGGGAGGTTCAGGCTAGACATTAGGAAGAATTTCTACACGGAAGAAGTGGTGAAGCACTGGAACAGGCTGCCCAGGGAAGTGGTGGAGCCACCATCCCTGGCAGTGTCCAAGAATGAGGCAACTTAAACAAAAGGGACATGGTGTAACAGGCATGGTGGAGATGGGTTTATGGTTGCACTTGATCTTGAAGGTCTTTTCCAACCATAACAATTATGTGATTCTAAGAAGAAATTCAAAAGAAATAGGCAGGTGTTGGGGAGGCTGTTCAAAGATAATATGGTGATAGAGATGGAGTAAATGGACATAGCTAATTTTAAAAAGGTTTTAAAGGGTGAAGATAGAGTAGGTATAGCTAAATAACAGAATAGGGGCTACTAAACACAGTTATATTTGAAATAGTAGCCATTTTCAAAGAGCACAACAAAGAAAACAAGGAAGAGCATGAATTCTGGAAAGTTCCCCATTAAACCTGTCCAATAATTAGTTTTTTGGAAAACCTGACAGTGAATGGTTTAGTAAGGGCTCCAGCAAGCACCTGGGAAACTATTGTCAGTGTACCTAACCGCTGCATAAGGCAAAAGACACCTAGCTGACATATGGCTTTTGCAGGAGAAAGTGGATTTGTAGATCTGCCAGAATTACACAAAGATATCGAAGGGCAAATGTGAAATGATGATCTGGGTTTCCTGGACAAGAATCTTCAGTAAAGACCAAACCAAGCTACTGCAGCCTAAGAAAATCCCTGTAGTAACTAGCACTTGGCCAAGAGAAAGCAAAGGATGAGCGGGAATATTATTGCCTGGAACAAAAGTACCAGGGAGCACCACAGATGGACTGAGGCATCCACCTACAAACTAAACTGTCAATCAATAAAATGTCGCGGTAGAAAGGTGGCTGCGACAGCACCTCCGAACCGCCGCCTGGCGCCGCCC